CAGAGACCGACACCATTCCTCGCGTCTTTTCGAACCGGATTCGCTGTCGGCGCCCTCGCGGGCATTGTCCATTTGAGACAGAAGGCCGCTTGCCACACAGCGGCCGCTGTCGCTTTTTGGGGCAACATCTGCCGTTGGGCATCGTGCCCAAGTTTGCCGTACCCATTTCGGGCGTCCAAACCAATGCAAGCAAGGGATGCTGGCCCCCGCATGCCCCACGGCTGGCGGTCGCCCTGACCAGCGGGCGGCGGCCAGGATCTGGGCTTCCCAGATGAGGTCGGAGGTAGATGGGGTCGGAGGATTGCGAGGCGTCGGCGATGCATCGGCGATGCGGCTCAAGCGATGCATCGGCGATGCGGCGCGATCCACCGACCCCATCTGCTCGGACCGAAATTTGGGAGGCATCTTCAGGACGGGGTGCCAGCCCCAGAAACACAAGCCACGAATAGGGGCGTCTGGGGTGTTGGCCGGCGAGTGTGCGGCGCAGCTGCTGCAGAAGAGCGACGAGCAGTTGCGCCTGCAGGGCTCCTGGCATGGCGGCGTCCCTCCGTGGGAAGAGAGCTCGCGGCCACATGAGGAGCACAGCGTGGCACAGAAGCCCGCCCCAAAGAACGTGGCGACCAGGCCTCGACTCACGGTGCGCACGCGCTCCGCGCCCTCCTCCTCCGTGGCTCTGGAGCCCAAGCCGAACAGGATGTCGACCAGCATACAAACGACACCTTTCCACCTGCGGCCCTCCACGTTGCGCTACGGGGCCCTCGGGGGCCGTAGCGCACACCACGCACAAGCCCACGCCAGACCTCCTGGTGTGCGCGAAGCCCCGTGGGGCCGTAGCCCAAAGGGGCCGTAGGTGGGGTGGTTTACCAGTTCGAAACATATCCCTATCCCTATGTTTGACATCACCTCACCTCGATGCCGATCTTAAGGATTCCCTCAGTTTCTGAGGGCCTATCCCTGAGATTGTCCTCGCTTTTTGCTCGCCCATCTTAGGGATAGGGATACGTTCGAGGCTGGTCAGTGGTGCTGTTCGTGTCCTGGTCCAAAGGATGATGGTCTCCGACAGCTACGGTCTGTTCGACACCCACGGCAGCTGCGGCCTCGTACGCGAGACGCCGTGGTGTTCTCGGAGGTCGCGCCCGGCTCCCGCGGCCTTCGCGGTGGGCCCGCAGCCGCAGAGGCAGCCGCGTGCGTTCCCAGAGACGCGGGTTGTACGGACAAGATTGATATCTCAGGAGGGAAGAGGACGCACACGTACACGATCCCACATGGGTTTCGAGAGTACGCCTCGCGCGAGTGCTCGTAGCATGGGGCTCTTCTCGCGGATTAGGGGGCCGTGAGCTTGTTTGTTCCTCCCCAGGGTAGCGCTCGTGACCCGGGCCAGACCCCCTCCCTCCCTTGGGTAAGACTCACGATCGTACTGGGGTGCGTGGCCTGGACCGCGACTGATGCGCCGGTGGCGCGGACGCACTGGGGGGTACACGCCGCGGCCGCCGTTAATTACCGTTATCCCCCCAACCGACCACCCCCCTCCGGGTAACGACCGTTGCCCAGGAACGAAAGACACATTCACGTTTACATCCACGTCTTTTGCGGGTTGGATTTTCTCGGAAGAGGCGCCCAAAGGCCGAGGCGCTGGATATGGATCAAGAGCTGGCTTCCACATACCACTTTTTGCCCGTGTCCACTGCGCCTCGGGTGTCAGGGGAAGGGGGCCCGCATCGCAAAGATAGAGCACACACACACGTACACATAATTATTCATTATACATACGCCGATGCTTACATGTATACTTATATATATATATATATACACACCGGCATCTGTACACAACCATATACATACACATGCACGTATATCTAAAACTATGGATCTACTGCCCGCAGGTTGCTTGCAGAGCCCGCATGCTGACCTTGGCGCAGAGACCGCAGCCGCCGTCGCCCGGAGGCTGCAGCGCCGACAGCGGCGAGAAAGCCTTCAAGGACCTCCTCGGCCTCAGGGAGGCGCTTCAGTTCGAGGACATCAAGAGGATCCACGGGCGAGAGATTGCGCAGCCTCTCCGTGAGTCCATGTCCGAGCACGGAATCACTGTCTTGAACGGCTGGGCGTTCCGGTTGGCCCGCCGTTGCCGCAGTGACCCTTTGCTCGACCGCACCACCAGCTATTTGCTGGATTCCTTGCGCGTGGTCCAGCACGACAGCGACGGCGTCTTCGGCGCAGACGACATGCTGCGCATTTGCGGCTGCCGTGCGCTGGCAAACGATGCTGAGACGTACGAGCATGTCATGGATCTCTTGACGCTTGACACCTTCGACGAATACGAGCTCTACAGGCGAGTGAAAGGTCAGCCTTGGCGCACGGGCATCTCATGCAGGGCCTACACATGGCTTCTTCGTTTCTGCAAAGATGGGATGCCTCGAGATGTACGCTGGGGGGCAATCAGCTGGCTTAGAGACGTCGTCGTCCCACAGCTCCGTTGCGGTGCTATCGACAAGTTGTACAGAATAGCGAGTGGGGAATCGAACGGGGAACGGCGCAATGAGCTCGTAGACTCAGAGTTTTTGAATATGTTTCGTGCGCCGAACGTGGTGAGGACGCTCATACTGCGTGACATGAGTGTGGCGACGTCATCAGACAGTCGCGGGAAGATATTCGACCTTGCCCATTGTTGGATCGTTCTAGATGGCGCCAAGGGGGGGTTGAGCATGCTCTACCCCGACTTGCCGAAGGCCGAAGCCATCAGGAGAGCGCACGAGCAGTTGAAAACGCACACCAACCCGTGCCTGGCAAAATATTCATTTGCGTTCCCGCGTATGTTTGCCGACGTGTTTGGGGAATCTGGGCAGAACCGTTGTAGCGTGGCGTCGCTAGCATTGCGTGGTTTCTACTCGCCCGTTACGCCTTTTGCTTGTGTTCGAAACTTCGTCGGCGCTCGTGGGGCCGCCTGGGAGCGGTCCCGGGTCCGCTTCGGGAAATGTCGGGGCTAACTGGGGACGTCGTGGGGCCGTCTTGGGCGATCTTGGGGCGACACTGTGCCGTCGTGTGGTTGTCTCGGAAAGGTTTGTGGTAGGTGTCTCGGGCGGCCCGAAGCCGTCCATGCTTGCAGGAAACCAGCCATGCCCTAACAATTGGCATACCCCCGCCATCCCACCCGATAGCGATGCCCGAGCGAGTTGCCTCGATCCGGGCAGCCGTGCTGCACGCACTCGGTAGTTAGCCACGTGTAAGTCCGCGGCGATCCTTCAGGGAGGGTGAGAAGGGATGACGGAGAAGAGGCGGGGGAGGAAGAGGAGCAGGAGGAGGAGCAGAAGAAGGAGGAGTAGGGCAAGCAAACGAAGGACAGATTTTTGACCACGCGCTCGTTGTAAATTTCAGCTAGGCTTTGAGGTGGGGAGGGGGCGGGGCGGGGAGGGTAAGGGGAGGAGGCGGGGAATGAGGGGGAGGAGGGGAAACAAAACGACGATGCAGACCAGGGTCTAACAGGAAGACCTCTGTGGACGTTTCGCTCTGGTACCTTTTTGGAGCAAGTTTGAAGTTTTTGTAAGGCGATAGTGGGGGCCGTTGCGACCACAGTGCGATTGCTCTTGGGCCCTTTCTCTTGGGGGCAAGACTGGGCTGAACAAGCTGCCTCTTGGGGCGCTACTGGGCAGTATTGGGGCCGTACTGGGGCCTTCCTGGGCCCATGCTGGTTTTTTCTTGGGCCGTTGGATCTATCTAGAAGCCCCAGAAGCCTATCGGAAATGAAAATTCGATGCTGATAGAACCATGTAGTTTTTATTGTGTTGGCAGGGTCTTGGCCTTGGGGGCCTGTTTGAGAAGCCCGCGTGGCCACTCGGAGCCGTCTGGGTGCGGTTTGAGGGCCCTCTGGAGGAATGTTGGAGGCCAGATTGAACAAGATCCGGCAATACTCACCACCCACCAAACCACCCCAACCCAACCCGAAGGCCTCAATTTGCCATCCGTTTCCAGTTTGGGGGGGGGGTCGTGGAACATTGAGAAAAAACACATATGGAACCCGTACCCCCCCCAACCCAAAATTGGGGTCTTCGGGTTGGGTTGGGGTGGTCTGGTAGGTAGTCAAATACTGAACCATATTGGATGCAATTTTGAAATTTAGGCGTTTCGCGTACCCCACCAGCCCATCCAGAAGCATGGCCCAGGGGAATTGCCCTGATCAAGGATGCGGGAGCATGCAGTGGCAGAAGGGCTGGGGAAACCGTCGTGCCCCAAGAGGGGGAGGATGGAGGAAGAATCGGAGGATGATGATGCTGATGGTAGGAGGAGGAGGAGGAAGAGGAGGAAGAGGAGGAAGAGGAGGAAGAGGGTGAGGGGGGGAGGAGGCAAGAGGGAGGAGCAGTAGTAGATGGATGATGGGTAAGAGGAAGAGGAGGAGGAGGAGGAGGAGAATACTGGCACTGGACCTCCTGTATTCCTTTCTGATCCTCTTCGGGTGTGCCTTGAGAGTTTCCCGGGGTACTTTTGGGCGTCTTGGGGGCCTCTTGGCGGTCTTGGGGGCCTTTTGGAGCGTTTTGGGTGGCTCGGAGAAGCCTCCTGGGGCGTGTGTAGGGTCTCCTGGGAGCCTATTGGTTGCCTCTTGGGGCCACCTGGGCGTTTCCTGGGGCCCTTTTGCGGCACTCTTGGGGGCCTTGAGGGCCATTTTGGGGCCATCTTAGAGGAATTCGTTGAATGAAGGAGGGGTTCGTACTGAATCCCCCCCCGGGCTGCAGCTTCTAAAATCGCATCTTGGACCCGTTTGGGGCGCTCTTGGGTGCTTTTGGGACCGTCTGGGGACCCTCCCGGGATCCTCCCGGGATCCTCTCGGAGTTCTCTTGGGACTTCTTGGATCCATTTTGAGGCTTCGAAGGGTATTGGGCTTCTCTTGGGGTTCTATGGGGCCTTCTTGGGGCTACCTTGGAGCCTTGGAGGGCGGTCGAAAGCGAAACGGCTAGAAGGCAGACAACATGGATTGTCCTAATATATTTCCCCATCTCTTGAGATGGGGTTTGGTTACCCCTTTATATATTAATACATGGCTACTATCACGATTATTCAGACGCCGCTGAATGTTGACCCTCATGTTCTCCCTCTCCCTCAGTCATACCATTCAGATTCCCATATTCGGATCATCCACACCCAATTCATGTTCACGTCTCTCTTGTTCCTTCCTGGTTCACGTCGCACATATCTACTTATGCCCAGGACCACTTATGCCCAGGCACACTCACACTCAGACACACACACACAAACACACTCAGACCCACTCGCAATCAGACTCACTTACATTGAGACTTTGCATTCAGACTCACTCATTGTCAGAGTTACTCACCTTCAGACTCACTCACCCACTCAGACCCATTCAGGTGCACGCACTCATATTCAGACTCGCTCGCACTAAGACTCGCTCATATTCAGATCCACCCATACTCAGACTGACTCAGACTCGGGATCACTCATACCCAGATTCGTTCACAGCCATGTTCTTTCACACTCCGATCCATGCATACCCAGACTGACCCATACTCAAAAATGCGCTCAAACTCAGATCCACCCTCCCTCGTTCAGATTTGGTCGCACCACTTCCTCACCCAGATCTGACCCAGGATAATTACCAGCCTGGAACATATCCCTATCCCTATGCTGGGCACCTCCTCATCACGATGCCAATCTTAGGGATTCCCTTTATTTTTTGACGGCGAATCCCTAAGATAGTCATCGCCTTTTGGCGTGTCAATCTTAGGGATAGGGATACGTTCGAGGCTGGTAAGATAATTCACGCACGCAGACGGTGAGGTCGTCAAAGACGAGGCGCTGGCGTCAGCACCCCAGGGGAGGGGACGCCAGGGGCTGCGGGGGACGTACTTCACACGTGCCAGGTCGCACCCGGCGTGTGGGGGGGGTGTCTCGGGCGGTTTGCCCGTGTCTGCGTGCCCAGCACGTCTTGCGTTCGGATCAAAGCACCTGGCATCGCCCGGACGTGTGCATTTTTCTTTCGGCGAGGACCATCGAGGAGCATCCTTGATCATGTGGCGAAAAACAACCACGCACGAAACCGAAACAAAGACGGGAAATGGACGTCCGAGCGATGGCCAGAGCACGAGGACGTCTCGGGCGAAGCGCTGGCGTCAGCACCCCCAGGAACGGGGGCGCCAGGGAGGCATCTCACGGGCCCCATTCGCGCCCAGATCGTGGGGCTCGCGTGTCCAATGTGGTCTGCTGTCGTGCCAAGTGTGAGAATGTCTCGGGCGACGCGCTGGCTTCGGCACCCCAAGGGGGGGAAGCACCAAATGGAGTATTTGACGGGCCCCTTCGCGCGCAGAGTATATTAATTGGTTAATGTGTGGATGTCTCCTTCGCGCGCAGAGGGAGTATTCCTTTGGGGATGTCTCAGGCGGTTTATTTGTTTGCGTGCCCAGCATCTTCTGCTTTCGGAGCAGACTGCGATGATGTCTCAGGCGAGACGGTGGTTTTAGAACCCTAATGGGGGGGTCCAGAGAGGGTATTTCAAAGGCGCCGTTCGCGCCCAGATTGTGGGGATGTTTCAGACGGTTTGCGCACCTGCGTGCTCGACATTGCCAGTTGTCGGAGAGGATTGCTGGCCTTAGCACCCCAATGGGGGGGGCGCAAGAGGGAGTATGTCAGCGGCCCGTTCGCGCCCAGAGCGTGGGGATTCCTCAGACCGTTGGCCTATTTGCGTGCTCCGCGTCCTTTGTTTCCGTAGCAATTTGCCAGGATGTCTCAGGCGAGGCGTTGGTTTTAGCACCCCAACGGGTGGCGCCAGAAAAGGTATTTCAAGGGCCCGTTCGCGCCCAGATTGTGGGGATGTCTGAAGCGATTTGCTTGCTTGCGTGCCCGACATTTTCTGTTGTTGGAGAAGATTGTAAGGATGTCTCAGGCGAGGCGTTGGTTTCGGCACCCAAAGGGTGGGCGCATGAGAGGGTGTTTCCTCTTCCACCCTTATTTTTCCCCTTCGGGGAGGGGTTTACCCCTCCCTGTACCCCCTCCCCTGGGCCTGAACGGGGCGTTCCGCGAGCGGTCGGTGCGTATCAAACGCAAACGGCCTCGGCGACGAAGCCGAAATCACCAGTTGTACTAAGGTTTTGGCCCCATTTTGGCCTCTCGGGGGGGGGGGAGGGGCAAATTAGGGAACCCCCGTTTTTTTGATCGATCTCCTCCGAGATGGCCCCAAGAGCGCTCCCAAGGCTCCCAAGGGTGCCCCAAGAGTGCCCCAAGAGGTGGCCAGGAGGCCCCAAAAGGCTCCCAAGAGGCCCCCAGGATGCCCCCAAGAGGCTCCCAAGAGACCCCCAAGAGGCCCCCAGAGGCCCCCCAGAGGCACCCAAGACGTTCCAAGAGAAGAGGCCTTGGCGAGAATGCCTAAATCAATGATTTTACAATGGTTTTGGCCACATTCTGGCCTCCTGGGGAGGGGCACTGCTTAAGATGACTCCAAGAGCGCCTGGGGGAGCCCGAGATGACCTCCAAAATGGCTCAAGATGTCCCAGGATGCTTCAAGATGGCTCCCACGATGCTCCAAGAGGCCCCAAGACCGCTCCAAGACGGCTCCAAGTGGCCAAAGAGCTCCCCCAGGAGGCCCCGAAGAGGCCACCATCCTTCCAAAACCTTTTTGGAAAGCCGATGTTTTTGGCTTTCTCGGCTTTTCGCTTCCGATGGCCATCCGAGGCTCCAAGATGGCTCCAAGATGGCCCAAGAGGGCTCCAAGAGCGCTCCCAAGAGCGCTTCAAGAGGGCCCCAAGAGGCGCCCAGGAGGCCCCAACAGGCGCCCAAGAGGCATCCAAGAGGCTCCCAATAGAGTCCCCCAAGTGGCCCCAAGAAATTATCCGAGGCACCCAAGACGCTCTGAGAGCCGTCCGGGACCGCCAAGAGGCCCCCAAGACGCTGCAAAGCGGCCTCCACTGGGGAACCCTTCCTCTTCGTGCTGCCCACCTCCCTGATCGAGGAAATTCCTGCGGGCATTGTTTCTGGATGGGCGGGCGGGGTTACTTTTCTTGGTCGCAGCCGCAAGCGGAAGTGCAGGCGGCGAGAGGGGGTCCGGGGCGCGGGCCAGCCTGATTAGCTACTGAGCGACACGCAAGCCGGCCGGGCCAGCACTCAGAAGCGGCGGCTGAGGTGCAGCTGCTGCGCGGGCGGGGTTACTTTTTTGGTTGGCGGCTCCAGGACAAGGGTCAAGAAGCGGGATAAACGGCTGGGGCACATGCCGTAGATATCGGGCGGGGTTACTCGAAGCGTCCAGAATTAGTTTTTTTGGGGGGGGTGGTCTTTTTGCATCGGCGCCGATCCTTGGCGCCGGATTGAGCTCCAGCTTAGCGCCAGCGGGCGCTCTTCGCCCCAGCCGCTCGGGCGTCGCGAGCCGCGTCGGGGGAGCGCGCAGGGAGGCGCGGCGGCGGACTTCGCGGCGGGGCCGGCAGCGTCTCGGGGCGCTCGCGCGGAGTGCCCACAATGCGGGCGGCGCCCCTCGGCCTCCGCGGCGCCCCTCCCGGTCCGCCTGGCGCCATGTTCCTGCGGCGCGCAGCCCTTGCGCCGACGGGTCCTGGTGGCCGCCGCGGCCCTTCGCCCTTCGCTACTCGCGCGCGGCGTTGGCCCACTGCCGCCCCCCCCCCGCCCCCCTTCTGCCCGAGCCCGGACCCCCCCCCGATGTCCCCGCCCTTGTCCGCCGCGCCGCCCTAACGCAGGGCGCCCGCAACGGCGTGCCGGCGCCGCGGCCCGCGCGTCGGCGCCCGCGCTTGATTCGCGCGGTTCGCGGGCGCACGTGAGTCTGAGGCGCGCATTTGTTCGTTGGCCCGCGGCGGTGCTCGCGCGCGAGCGTTCCAGATGCATCGGCGCCTGGCCCGAATATCAGCGCTCGGAAGACCGCCTGGGGGGAGGCCGGCCAGGCGGCCCCGCGCCACCCCCGCCGCCCTCTATCGGGGGCAGGCGGGGGGCAGAGGTCGAGGCGCCCGACTCTCCGCGTTCGTCGAACCCATCATAGGACATGCCTGGGCACGGGGCGCAGTCAACGGTAGCGCCACCCAGCGCGCTTAAACGCATTCCGACCGCCGCGCTTAAAACCCGCCACAACGAGATAATGCGCTCGCGCGCTCCGGCGGTGGCTCTGGCGCCATGCCGCATACCTCAACTGACATCGAATGCAGCGCGGACGAGCGCCGGGGTGGCAGACAATGGGGGTGCTAGTGCGGCATTAGCGGCTATAGCATCCCATGGTAGCTTTCGATGCAGCACTAACGGCTCGGGTGGGCCAGTTTTGCCGCCAGTGCAGCAGCATAGCCGTCAATGCTGCGCTAACGGCGCGCAGTGTAGCCGTTAGTGGTGCGTCATAGCTGTTGATGCCGCACGAACGGCGCGCGTCACATCCGTTAGTTCCGCGTCGAGTTCGCGGCGCTCCGAAGCCCCATCATATTTTCGAAGGCGAGCGTTGCGAGCCCCACGCAAAAACCAAACCGCAGAGCACAAACATTGCAGTTTAAATGTTACTATCCCGCCCGTTCTGCATCGTATTCCTCTTCCGCCGCACCGTCGCAGTCATGCCCGTAAACATGGTACGTGGGGACAACTCCGCATGCGCTTGCAAATCCGCCCCACAAGGATATATAGATATATACATATACACATATCTATATGTGCGAAACAAATATTACATCCACGCGTGCGCGGCGCACTTCAACCGCGCCGAACGAGCTCCTGATTGTGTTTGATGGGTTTTGCGCAGTTCGGCAGTTTCATATTGCGCTGCCCAAGTTTGGCGCAAGCACGAACAACCATATGACCATCCTTCAATCATTTGAACGTTACGCGCGTGATATGGCAAATTCGTCAATCACCAGTTGCTCATACACAGCGAGTTAGCAATGCCAATGGGCTTACCTATAGACTTCGAGGTTGCATTCGACCAGCGTAACATAAAGAGCCCAGCACTTAGTTTTGACTTACACTACACTAGTAAAGATACGCGGCAGAGGATTGTACGTGCACTGGCAAGAAACTTGCTAAGTACTTCGTTAGTCGAGTGAAGTACTTCATATACACAGCTCAGTGCGTACCAGGGTAGTTTGCAAGTGGCCGTTAAGTCAGTTGATTCCAAGTGTTTAGCATAGTTAGCAACCGTTCGGCTTAGTACTGTCTGCGTCTGCGGAGTATTCAGAAACAGGTGGACAACCTCAAAGGTGCTTCGAAGATCCTTTGAACAAAAAAAAGGTTTAAAGACCAGTGGCAGTCTCTTTGACGGGTCGTACAACAGAGCCAGGTACCGACAATAATACGTGACCGCCCAACTGGGAATTCTGGGAACGAACTGGCAATTACCGAACATACGGCACGCCGTGCACCCGCGTGGCAAGCCACAGCGGGCGGCGCGTCTAGTGGCTTCCGGCCCATCCCGCCGCCGTGGCCGGGTTGTGGGGTCGTCGGTTTGTGGCTGCTCGTTGGGGTCTCTTGGGATGCTTTTCGGGTGCACGTGAAAAGTCTCTTGGGATATGCTGATGGTCATGCGGCTGTCTCTTGGGGTCTTATGGGTCAAGGACGTACAAAAACGCCCCTACCCTGGTTCACGAGGCGCTGTGTGCTGAAACTCCTCTGGGCTGACAGGGTAAATCCTGCGTGATGTGCCGCGTCCTGGCGGCTCTAGGCTTTGGGGGTTCCCAGGAGGTTTACAGACCACGCACTTTCAACCCAGGGTAGGGTCGTTTTTTCATCCCTCAAAAAGTGGGGGCTTCGTTCGCCGTCTGGGGGGGACTTTTTGCCGAAGTCCGCAGTGTCCAGAAGGCGAACATCTGACAAGCACCGAAGGGAAAAAATGATGTTGGTTTCGTGTGACCCTGGCGGGGGCAACCTTTGATACCCCTTGGGGCGTCTTGGGGACCCTCTTGGAAGGCGTATCAGGGGCGTCCCGAACGCATATTGCGGCCTCGTATGTGCCTTTGGGGCTCTCTTGGGATACTTTGTGCTGGTTGAAGCAATCTTGGGCCGTGTTGACTGGCTTTCTTGGGCTGTCTTGGAAGCCGAAGAAAGTGTTCTAGAACGCTCAGGAGGCGGGAGGGGTGGCGATGCATGCAACACTGCGTGGCAAGAGTTTGCGGGCAGTACTTATATCCATATCCAGAGCGTCGTGGACTTTTTGGGAAGAGGTGCCGCAACGCCGAGGCGCACCGGATATGGATACAATCAAGCCTCTTGGGGCCAGATTTTTATCTATATCCAGTGCGTCTACGGTTTCTGGGGAAGAGAGCCCAAGAATCCAAGACGCACTGGATGTGGATCTAATTATTGCCCGCAGAGTTGGGGCTTAGACTGTTACATGCGCCCTACCACGGACCAGACAGTACTTGGCGTTCTACCACGCCTCCACGTTCCAGGGAACGCGGTGGCGAATGGCACCGTGTGCGCAGCGCAGCGTTACCATTGCATCCGTTGGGTCAAGCATAGACTTGTTTGCCATGCATATCATCTGCGCCCAATTCTGGAGGGAACGTCGTTGTCACAGCTACCAGGCCGTATTCTTCCCACGATGCGAGCAGGTATTTGGGGGACGGCACACGGGGAAATCATTCAGGGGATAGCTCACGCCTGTCACTGCAAAGCCCGATGGCGGATCTGCCTGAGCTCCATCCCTGCACGACCCAGCACTTGTGTTGCGAGCTGCGGAAGTACAAGGGCCGCAAGCGGTGGATCCACAGGCGCCCGAGGCGCTCGGGCAGGATGCATCGCGCGAAGCTGTGCGGGTACTGGCGCAAGGTCTCTGCCGACCAGGTGCCCTTCCCGAAGGCGGGGAGCTCCGATTCCGGGGACGACACACAGAGTGATCCCGAGATGTTCTTGGGGAAGTTGAGGTACGCCACTGCGACCTGCCTTCGTCGTGGCGTCTGCGAAGAGTCGCTGAATCGGCTCCAGCTTCTGCAGCTTCGCGAGCGTTGCCTTCAGCACCTGCGCAAGCTGCTCCAGGCCCACCAGGGCAGGGCCTTCACACTCGAGGAGCTGACCGCCCACGTCCGCAAGCGGTCGGTTTTCCAGCCTCTCGGGGTGGAGGTAGGGAGTCTCGTCGCAGTTCTGAAGTTGGAGAGCGAGGTCCACGAGGTCCCCGGAGCCGACGGATTTCGCTACATGGCACGCAGGTTCGATCTCGGCACGGGCAGGTTACCCATGAAGACGGGTTACCGGAGACAGCTTGAGTCCAGCGAATTGTTCTTCATGCCCCGCGAGCTGAAGTTCGGCCCCCCCAGTTTGGGCTGGCATCATCCGAGGGAGTGCGACCACAGCGAACCCAGCCAGTTCAAAGCAGCTTGCCGCATGGATCGGGAGGACGAGCACCTCGACGAGGCGATCTCCGGGGTGCGCAGCTACATGGACGTGGAGTCTGGCTGGGCAGAGCCGCTCGCGCAGGCGCTCCTCGCGCAGGCGCTGTCGAGGCCGGCGGAGGCGGAGCGCGTCCGCCGCGTGCTCGACAGGCACTGCTGGAGTGGCGCTCGCTTTGCGGCGCTGCCAGACCGCGGCCAGCTGCTGCGGGACCTGCAGGATCGCGCAGTGGCAGAGCGTCCCGGCTTGCCTATAGGCCCACCACAGGGTGCTCTGAGGACCTCGCGTGGTTTGCGCGAAAGGTTCTTAGAACGTGTCTGGCCGAGACTGTCTTGTCAGAGTACGTCGGTTTGATGTTCGAAGACCTCGCACCTGCTCTGATGACATTCTTTGGTTCTCAGTGCATGTCGTGGCAGGCCTGTAGGAATGCGGGGACGGTCGGCCCCTGCTCCACAGGAGGCGCAGGCCGCTCTCCAGGGCGAGCTGCCGAGCCACACCGCCGGGCACCGCCCCTTCGAGCCGGCGGGGGCGCGCGCCGGGAGGGGCCGGCCGGGCAGGAGCCCGGTGCCGGCGCCAAGCCAGACGTCCGAAGGGAAGTGTTTGCGTGCTTCCACAGGGAGGAGGAGGAGGAGGAGGAGGAGGAGGAGGAGAGGAGGAGGAGAGAGGAGAGAGAGAGAGGAGAGAGAGAGAGAGAGAGGAGAGAGGAGAGAGGAGAGGAGAGAGGAGAGAGGAGGAGGAGGAGGAGGAGGGAGGAGGAGGAGGAGGAGGAGGAGGAGGAGGAGGAGGAGGAGGAGGAGGAGGGGCCGGCCGGGCAGGAGCCCCGCGGCGGAGGCGGCCCGGGCGGCGCCGCAGGCGAGGGCGAGCGTCAACCGGGAGGCGGGCGCCCGCGCAGCTGCCCCGCGGGAGCCCTGCGGCACGGCTGGCGGCCGGGAGGCCTGGCCCTCCTCCTCCCCCTCCTCCTCCTCCTCCTCCTCCTCCTCCTCCTCCTCCTCCTCCTCTCTCCTCCTCCCTCCTCCTTCCTCCTCCTCCTCCTCCTCCTCCTCCTCCTCCTCCCCCTCCTCCTCCTCCTCCCTCCTCCTCCTCCTCCTCCTCCTCCTCCTCCTTCTCCCTCTCCTCCTCCCTGTCCTCCTCTCTCCTCCTCCTCCTCTCCTCCCCTCCTCCTCCTCCTCCTCCTCCTCCTCCTCCCCCTCCTCCTCCTCCTCCTTCTCCCCCTCCTCCCTCCTCCTCCTCCTCCTCCTCCTCCCTCCTCCTCCTCCTCCTCCTCCTCCTCCTCCTCCTCCTCCTCATCATCCGCAGATCGGGCCGGACGAAAGGGGGGGATAGGGAAAGGGGGGGTACGAAATCTGCTGCTGCATGCAGCTGGTTTCGGCCTCACCGAAGGGGCCATTTCTCGATACATGGCCGCCTCCGGCGCCGGGAGGCGCCGGGAAAATCAGCTACGTGAGCTAATTCTCACCCCCCCCCTTTGCTATCCCCCCCTTTCGCCCAGCCCGAGCAGAGGGCATCCGAGGCGCCGCCACCATGCCTGGCCAGGGCCATCCGAGGCGGGGAGTGGTGCACAGCCACCGCCTGGAGGGTGATTTTCGGAGGCCTCGGCAGGCGGTGGACATGAGTATATGTGGGCCCCAAGGGGCCAAGGTATAGCCATACCCACCGAGCGTTGGGTCCTCAGGACGTCTGATCCCAGGAAGTGGACATGGATACATCCGCGCCTCGTACTCCGGAGCCCCTGCATGGTGCAGCGCGCCCTCCTGGCAGAGGCCGGGAGGACTGGATCGGCCACACACCAAGGGCCCAGGGGTGGCTTTGGCCAGGAATGGTGGTGGTGGTGTGCAAATGTGCACTCTGCAGAGGTGAGCGCGGCCAAGGACGTCCGCCCCGCCTTCGAGCAGCTGGGCTGCAAGAGGTCCCTGGACAGGGCCGCCGCCGGCGCCGCGGCCGAGAGCAGGCCGCGCCGGCGGCTGTGCGGGCCGGTGCCCAGGCTGCCTGCGGCGCAGCTCCCGTGCCCGGTGTAGCAGCAGATCCCGTCGTCCCTGGCTGGCGCCGCAGACCATCTCACGGAATCGGCTGCGGGCCAATCCCGAGGCCGCGATCGGCGTGCGTCGACGCCTCCTTGGCCAAGGCAGGAGGGCGTGTGCACCGAATCTGGGCCCAGGATGGGCCTGGCCATCCCGTGCCCAGGACGGGCCTGGCGTGGATCGGCGAGGTTGTCAATGGATGCTCCCCGACCTGTGGCGGAGGCGAGAGGGCAATCGAGCGTGTGCGCGTACTGGCCATTCACGTGGGCCTGCTCAGACCAGCCGGTTTCGGAGCATGGCGCTGCAACGCCCTTGCCACGAAGAGCAGTACGACGACCAGCATCAGATTCACGAGGGCGACGCGCGTCAGCAAGATCGCACGGGGCAGTTGGGCGTGTGCAAGTGCTGCGGATGACCAGAGGCAGCAGACGGCCCAACACTTGACGAAGGACGAGTTCAGAGAGGACAAGTCCTGGAACATCGGCTCGAGGGAGGCCACTGCACAGGGAAACGCAAGCTACGAACCGCAACGTCAGAATGTGGAACGAGAGCGAAGTTCTAGTCAGGAAGGCCTTGAACATCAAGAGTTGGCCGCTCTTTTGACGAGGTCGTGGCAGGATGGAACGGCATTTGGCGCCAAGGCGAAGGAGATCCATGCTTGCAGTAGAAGTGCCGTGAACGCCCTAGTCCTCCTCGCGCACTTCTGAGTAGGTCGACCCGACTTGTGCATATTTTCGTGGTGTACCACGGTGAATTGATTTGCTTGACAGTCTGTACACAATTTCTCGGCTGCAAAATAAAGCAGAAGTGCCAAAGCTGGAATCAAGTTTCGAAGCGTTTCGGCGAGCCAGTCTCGTCCCCTGCTTTTTGGAACCGTCTCTGTATAGCTAAACGTACTGCAGAAGCCTTGCCAAGCCATTAGAACTGCGTGCTCCCCCAGCCGTTGTGGAAACCCTTGGCGGGGAACACTTGTGGGAGGAAGAGAGAGAGAGAGGAGGATAGGGAGGAGAAGGCGGAGGAGAGGTGCTGGCCTCACATCTACAGAAAAAGGCCCGCGCCTTCTGAGAAGCAGGGGGGGCTTCTAAGCGGCCTTTCGCTCTCGTGGAGGCTTGGAAATGGACACCGACACCATCATGATTTTGATGTTGGTGGCAATATTTCGGCCACCTAGGTAGCTCAAATCTTACCACCATCGCCGAGATTGGGATTAAGTTTCCTCGGTGGAGGCACACTGCCGAAGTGCGCGCGACCAGGGAAGATGGCGCGCATGCCCGTGAGCTGAGCTATGAACGTAGACTCACCAGAGGACAACGAGAGACACCTTGGGGCACCATGCGGGCCTCTTGGAGGCTTCTAAGGGCCTTCGCACAGGTGCTTGGGGGCCTCTCAGTGGTCTCTTGGCCGGGGGGGTCCTCTCTGGGCCGTTGTGAAGCTTGTTCTGCGCACTGTGTGGCCGTCTTGGAGTCTGTGGACCCGTTTCCTGGCCCTCTTGGTGCCATCTTGGGGGCTTCTTGGGCCGTCTTGGGGCGCCATTGTTTTTTTTGCGGGGCGCAGTGGGGATATCCATGAGACATTTGGGGCCGTATTCGGATGTGGAAAGCCCGCAAAAGGCCAGAATGCGAATAGCAATGGAAAACCGCACGATATTCGCTATCTTCGAGTCCTCTTAGGCCGGCCTGAAGGCGTTTTCGGCAGTCTTCGATGCATCTTGGGGGCATCTTTGGGGTTCTCTTGGTGCCCTCTGGGCCCGTCTGCATGGGTCAGGAGGGGAAAAAAACACACAGACACAATTAATCGTCGATTCCCAAGAAAATATGGGAAAATATGGGAATTGGGGGGGAAGACAAAAACCCAGAAAAAATATGAAAATATAGGGGGATTGTTTTATTTGTGTGTATTTATTTGTGTGTCCCAGGGCCCCTTCAATGGGTCTTTCCGCACGGCCGGCGGGTCAAGCCAACGGCCAGTCGGATCTGTTGGCCGGCGGCTGCAAAGGGCTCGGTCACGCTGGGGTGTGATCTGCGATTTGCGCCGATACGGGCTTGGGGGGTACTCCAGATTTCGTAAGAAAAGGGAGGGGGTCTGGACCCTCCAAGACAAGCCATTTCAGACCCCCCCCGTGGGAGAACCCTCCAAAACATCGTCCCCAGACCCCCCCAGGCCCTCCAAGATAGCCTGGAAGAGACCCCTCCCAAAATGAGACCCTCCTCCCTTTATTACGAAATCTGGAGTACGCTGGGGTGTGATTTGCGATTTGCGTCGATAAGGGCTTGGGGGGTATCACGTTGCCC